GACTAAGCCACCCAGGCGCCCCTATAAAGCATTTTTAAAGAGTGGCTTCAAACTGTTCTGTAGAGAAACACACACACACAGTGAGCATTCCATTGGAAATCTATTTTAAAACCCTAATCAGCAAGCCATTTTTATGCATAAACAATTAAATTACAGTCTTGTCTGGCAAGTTCCCCGTTGCAGCCTTGGAAAAAGTGTGTAATACAGTGACAGACCCGATTCATTATGGGCAAAATACGTGTTCAAATGGGGCTGTGGTTTGTGCACGTATGTGGGCACATACGTTGTCCTGTGTCAGCTGAGGCACATGCATGTGTTAGGTGTCCCCTCCACCCCTTCCCTCTGAGCATCTGTGTTGCTGGGAGGCTTGAATGCTCTGTCGACGAGAAGCTAGCATTTATTTACACATTTTATGACTCTCGTTATCTTTGGGTGAATGCGTTATCGTCTTAAAGTGGGAACAACAAATCCCATTTGGTGTGTGCTTGTGTGTCTGCCGGAGCAAAACAGAGGCAGCTCGCTACCGAAACGTGTGTGGCCGGAATGGAGCAGTGTGACATTTGATCACATGGTGGTGTTCAGGGGGGACCCATGCCCCACTGGGGACCAAGATAAATGTGGGGAGACTGAGACCCTCCAGAATCCCAGACACTGGTGTGTGTGTGTGTGTGTGTGTGTGTTTTAAAGACTGGCAAATCCAGTAGGCTGGAGGGCTGATAGCGTGTCCCCAAGCCGCCTAACTGGGGCGGCTGTCTGGGGTGCATTTTTAAGTTGAGGACTCTGATGACAGCATTCTTGTTCTTTTTTGGAAAAGAAGTGAAGACCGTGTCTTAAATAGCAGTTTTGCCCGCGGCCGAAAAGAAAATCACAGAGATCTGTTGATTTGGCCGCCGATTAAGAGGAGTCAGCTGCAGGGAGTCACTGGCTGTTTCTTTAAAGGTTTGCAAGAAACTTCGCTGCCGGTCTGGTGGACCGTGGGCGTCAGGAAGGGGGCCACCGGGTGGACCTTTTTCAAGTGGAGCCAGTTTTGTTGACGTTATGATTTCCTTAAGACAGGAGTGTTTGGGGCTTAAATAGTTACCACTGTGAGAGCATTTTTTCCGTTTTCTACATGGGTGTCTTTTCCCCTTGGTGAGATCCTGAAGTTCTTTAAAACTGCGGGGATTTACGGCGGGGTGGGTTGTGGGGGGTGGGGGTGGGCAGAGAAGGAGCGGAAAACAAAAGAGAAAGAAGAGCTTGTTTTGCTGATGGCCTGGGGCGCTGTGAGGGGCCTTCCTCGTAGGGCCCTGTTGGCTTTGGGTGCAGCTTTTCGGCTGGTTTTGGAGGAAGCCCGAGTGAGAACCCCGTGTTCTCTAGTGTGGGGGTTCTGGAGGGGAGGTGTCCAGGCTTCTGCCGGGATCAGGGGTGTCGGGGCTCAGACTTTCAGCATGAAAGCAGCGAAGAGGGACCCTGGCTTCCTCCGCAGGCAAAGATGGCAGCCTGGCTGGATGTGCAGAGGACTGAGGCCCCCGATGGACGGAAAGGGAAGTGCGGCCGCGTCCCGTGGGACCAGCAGCCTCCTTGCAGATGCTCCGGTGGCCTGGGTGCCCCTGAGCCTCCTGCCCCCGCTGCGGTGGCCGGGGCCGCGCGCACAGCTGGCGCCCTCCTGCGCGCTGTAGGGCAGGGCGCTGCCTGGTGTTGGCGGCGAGGCCCGTCCCGGGCAAGTGCTCGTTCGTGGACGGTTGCAGCGATCTGAGGAGGCGCTCACCAGGGCCTTCCGTGACCCTCAGCTCCTGAGATGCAAGGACAGGAGCCTGGGCTGTGAGGGTCGCCCCTGGTGAGCCACCTGGCTGGTACATGGGGGGCAGGGCTCCTAGGGCCCACCCTGCAGCACCCCGTGCTGGGGCCGGGGTCCCCTGAGCTGCCCCCCGGCTTTGGAAGCGTTGGCTTTCACTGTTCCTGGGGGAGCTGAACACACGGAAGGAACAAACTGGCCACAGTGCGTGCGTTTCTGATGGCCTGAACCGGTCTTCGCACTTGGAGAATCCGCTTTCATTTCCAGTGCGTGTGTTCGCGCCGCCTGCGCGGGCTCAGTGGCTCTCGGCTGTTTGATCCCCTTGGGCTGGGGAACTGTCTGACTTTGAATATTCTTCCTCAACCAGCCGGGAGGTCCAGGGGAGTCTGTAGAACTATTTCAGAGCCACCAGTTTCCATGTTTTTTTTTTCCCTCTGTAAAATTATTTCTTTACAATTCTTATAAGCTTTTTATACCCAGGTTAGGTCACTGAGGTGACTACAAATAGTTTGTTTGACTCCTACTTTTGTATATTTTATTGCATTCGGCATTTCGGGGGATATAATACACCGTGGGCTAGAAGGGGTTGTGTGCACATCGCTTGCCTGATAAACTCAGAAGTACCATACAGCCATACAGAACTTGTGTCTGGACCCAAACAGCTTGGAAAAAGTGATTTAAATTACCTTACGTGGTCATTAAGAGTTGTTCTTGTTAGCCTCATTTGTCCAGTTCTAGGGGGAGTTTTTATTTATGTTATTGGAGTCATTGATAATTTTGGGCTCTCTCTCAGCAAGAGGATGTGCGCCCGTCAGGATAAAGGGTGAAGGGTCCCTGTGCCAGGCTCTGCTTCCTGCCTCCTTCCCGAGCTTGCTGCTCAGACTGCATGGCTTTCTGCGGGTGCCTGGGAAACTCGCTGGCACGGGGCCTGGAGAAGATGTGGGCACATAGTCTAAGTAAGATTTCTCCCGAGGGCCTCTGGGAGGAGGCGTTTGGAGAAGGCAGGAGCTGCACTGTCTGTTCAGAAGGCGTCGAGACCACCACGCACCCTGGCGGTGAAGGGGGCAGGAAGTGTAATGGACTCAGAAGCCATACTGGTTGGCACGTGTCGAAGACGCTCCCCCATTCTGTTGCTCTGGTGAAAGCGTGGCAGGCTGGACAACCCAGAGGAGACCAGGAGTCGCTGCCCAGGGTCTTTTGGGAGAGAACCTTTCACTTGTGAGCGAAAAATGTCTATTAGTGAGTTAGTTCAGAAGCAGAAACACAACGTCTTCATGTTTTGTAAATGCTGTAATCCGGGTTCGTTGTGCGTATGAGGTTGTAAGTCTGTAAACACATGGCTTCCCTTACACGCGTCCTGGCTGATTTTAAAGAAAATGTGCCCAACCGGGTGCCCCTTGGGACAAGTCTGACGTCCCCCGTCCCTTCCCGCCCCATAGGGAGACCCTCGGAATCCTTATCTCAATGACTTGTGCTTGGAGGTAAGAGGGATGGACAGACTACGTCTCAGGGGAGCCGTGGCCCCGCCTCCTCTCGAAGCCATCAGACTGGGATCCTGAAGACGCCTGACCCTCTCCATCCTTTCTCATTGGCTCGCTGTTTTGTTTATTCTCCGTATCACAAGTCAGATAGAAATTCCCGTTTTTGCTGCAGATGATTGCTTTTTGGCGCGTACTGTCTTGGGCCCATTAGGTGGCTTCCTACAGGTGCTCAGGTTGGCCTTCTGGCTGTGTGGGTAGTGGGCACAGCGCCGGGCACCCGCCTTCCCTGGCTGGCCTCTGCCTGTGTAGAGTGCTGGAAACACGCCCTGGAAGCCGGGATGACCACGGGCTGGACGGTGCCGCCCAGTGTGACACCCGCTGTCACCGGAGGGAGGCAGACATGGCCTCCCCGGGAAGGCACTATGGCAGTCCGACCTCTGGTGAAGTAGGGGGGCGGGGGGCGGTGCTGCATGACTCCCGGGGTCTGGAGGGTACCCCGCACTGGGACTGGGACTCAGACCTGCCACCAGAGCCGAGGGTGCCTTTTCGGGATCGGGGCTGGGGCGATGGGGCCAGAGGACAGGGACAGGACGGGAGGGGGAAGGGGCCGTGGCGTCCGGGCTTCCTCTGAGAGGCTGGGTCTCACGCCACGTTCACCTGGAAGGGATGGCCGCCCGGCCCGAGCATAGACCGTGCGCCAGCTCAGGGGTCTGCTTCTGCACTCGGTCGCCTCTCCCACTGAATCACCTGTGCTCTTAGCCAGAGACTCGTGTTCCTAACACCTAAACGCAACAGTACAGGGAGGTGTGAGCTGATCTTTCTGTGCCCTTTCCCCTTGGGCCCCTCCCGCATGCTCTGCTCCCTCTGTGGCCTGGGTTTCTCACCCTTCACCCACCCCAGTCTCTCCTTAAAGATCTGGTATCTTTTGGACAAAAGTTATTTTAGTGTCCAGTCATTTACAGTTATTTACTTAAAAATTTTTTTTATTTACCCATTTTGAGAGAGACTATGACAGTGAGAGCAGGGCAGGGGCAGAAAGAGAGGGGGAGGGGGAGGGGGAGGGCGCATCCCAAGCAGGCTACACACGTGTTCAGTGCACAGCCCAACACAGGGCTTAAACTCACGACACCACGAGATCATTACCTGAGCGGAAATCAAGAGTCAAACGCTCAACTGACTGAGCCACTCAGGCACCCCAACAGTTATTTATTTTAATGATTTAGCACACAATCGTCAGTAATTGTTTAATCATTAGACTTTGAGGGGCGCCTGGGTGCTCAGTCGGTTGGGCATCTGACTTCGGCTCAGGTCATGATCTCACGGTTCGCGGGTTCGAGCCCCGCGTCGGGCTCTGGGCCGACGGGTCGGAGCCTGGAGCCGGTTTCGGATTCAGTGTCTCCCCTGCTCGTGCTCGGTTTTCCCCTCTCAAAAATAAATGGCCTTAAAAAAAATTTTTTTTTTTATTACTAGTACAAAGGGGCTGCTTGCGCGTCGATTTGGATTTTTGTCGTGTCGTCTTTAACTGGGGCCGGAGCGGTCCCTTCCAGGAGGGCGCCCGTCGCGCCCGAGGGTGTCGCTGGGCCCCCGCCCCGGAAGCCGCGTGCCTAAGATCTGCGTGTCTCTTGTGTTGCAGGTGCGCCGCCCGCCATGCCGTCCGGGTAGCAGCCGCCCGCGGTGCCGGGAGGCCGAGGCCGCGTCGGGAGATGCAGCGCTGAGGCGGCGCCGCGCCGGCCGAGCGCCCGCGGGCCCCGCGCGGCCATGGAGCGCAGCCGCGAGCCCGGCGCCGACGCGGACGCGGACAGGGCGGCGAGCCACCGCTGCTGCATCTGCGGCAAGGCCTTCCCGTTCCAGAGCTCGCTGTCGCAGCACATGCGCAAGCACACGGGGGAGAAGCCCTACCAGTGCCCGTACTGCGACCACCGCGCGTCGCAGAAGGGCAACCTGAAGATGCACATCCGCAGCCACCGCACCGGCACGCTGGTGCAGGGCCCCGAGCCCGAGGCCGGCGAGCCGCGCGCGCCCCAGGGCCCGGCCGGCTGCGCCAGCCCCACGAGGAGCACCTCCGCCTGCAACCGCATCCTGAACGGCGGCCGCAGGGACGCGGAGGGCGCCGCCGCCTGCTCCTTCTGCGAGCGCCGCTTCCCGCACCGCAAGGACCTGGAGCAGCACGTGCAGCGCGCGCACAAGCCCTTCCGCTGCCGCCTGTGCAGCTACGTGACGCTCCGGGAGGAGTCGCTGCTGAGCCACGTGGAGAAGGACCACATCCGCGCGCAGCTGCCGCGCGGCGCCCACGCCGCCCCCGAGGCCGGCAAGCCCGAGCCGCCCGCCGGGGACTTCGCCTGCGAGGTGTGCGGCCAGGCCTTCAGCCAGACCTGGTTCCTGAAGGCCCACATGAAGAAGCACCGGGGCTCCTTCGACCACGGCTGCCACATCTGCGGCCGCAGGTTCAAGGAGCCCTGGTTCCTCAAGAACCACATGAAGGCGCACGGCCCCCGGGCGGGGAGCAAGAACAGGCCCCGGAGCGAGGGCGACCCGGTCGCCACCATCAACGACGTGGTGCAGGAGGAGGCGGTGGTGGCCGGCCTGTCCCTCTATGAGGTCTGCGCCAAGTGCGGGAACCTGTTCACAGACCTGGACAGCCTGAACGCGCACAACGCCATCCACCGCCGCGCGGAGGCCGCCGAGGGCGCCGCCGCGGGGCAGGGCGGCCCCCCGGACCCGCAGCGGCTCTTCCTCCGGTGCCTGAACCTGCGGCCCGCGGTGGCCGGGGCGCCCGCCCGCGGGCCGGCGGGGCGGCGCGTGGCCGAGCTGGACCCGGTCAGCAGCTACCAGGCGTGGCAGCTGGCCACGCGCGGCAAGGTGGCCGAGCCGGCCGAGTGCCTCAAGTACGGCGCGTGGGACGAGGCGCCGGCCGGGGACGTGGCCTTCGACCGGGAGCGGCGCGAGTACGTGCTGGTGAGCCCGGACAAGCGCAGGCGCGAGCCGGACGCGGGCGCGCAGGGGCCGCCGCGCAAGCGGGCGGGCGCGCCCGGGGACCCCGCGCCCGGGCCCCCGGACCCCCGGCCGGCCGCGCGCCCCAGCCGCCGCGCCGCCGTCCCCGCCGGCCAGGGCAAGTCGTCCGAGTGCTTCGAGTGCGGCAAGATCTTCCGCACGTACCACCAGATGGTGCTGCACTCCCGCGTGCACCGCCGCGCGCGCAGGGACCGCGACGCCGCCGGGGACCGCGCGCCGCGGGCGCGCTGCGGCTCGCTCAGCGAGGGCGACTCGGCCTCGCAGCCCAGCAGCCCGGGCTCGGCCTGCGGCGCCGCCGCCGACTCCCCGGGTTCCGGCCTGGCCGACGAGGCTGCGGAGGAGAGCGGAGAGGAGGGTGCGGTCGACCCGGCACCAGGTGAGCGCGTGCGCCCGGGCGGCTGGGCTCGCGGAGTGCGGGCCGGGGACCCCTGAACCTGGGTGACTCGGGGGAGCCCCGCACCCCGATGGGCCCATGTCCCGAGATCCCAGAGCCCCGGTATCTCCGGCCCAGGCCGCCCTGTGCCTGGATCGCCCTTCCCAAAGTGTCCCTGAACCCAGGGAGGCCCAGTGCCCAGGGAACACGTGCCTAGATAGTGCAGGCTCAGGTGGCCCTCTGACCCCGCAGCCCTCAGCCCAGGAGGTCCAGGCCCAGGTAGTCACCGCTCAGCCTTGCACCCTGGGGGCCTGGCTTCTCAGACCCAGGGAGTCCCTTACCTAGGGGCCCCAGTGCCCAGGTAACCCTGTTTTTGGGTAGCCCTTGGCCAGGTATCCCAGGCCCGGGTAGCTTTGCACCCAGGTGGCCCCACACCCAGGTGTTACCTAGCCAGTATATACTTGGAGCTTGGCAGGTGGGTGCAGACAGGTGCCCGCCTCTTGCCGACTGCCCGAATGGAATTGCGTTAATTAACAGCTTTGGCCTGTTGAGTTAACGTCTCTCGGAAGCATTAGTCATTCCTGAGCAAAGAACAGGTGAGGGGGCACCTCCAAGGTGGGTCTTTCTCTTCCTCTTCCGTCCCGGGCCTTTCCCCTCCCCGTGGGCCATGGGGGTGCGCACGCTCGCACGCACAACTCTTCTCTGCTTTTGTCCTTTGCCCCAGACAGTGAGTAAAAGAGTAACTTCAAATTGGTGTGCAGTTATAATTAATCTCCTTGGATTCAAGTGACCCTGTGGGTTTGGAGATGGCTCGTTGGAACAGATTACTTTCCCAGTAGCAGCTATGTAAATATTTAAAGATGCTTGGCCTGCTTTGTTTTTGTCGTTTTCCTGCGTTTTATAAATCTTAAGCATTTAGATATTTTATTCATTTTTTGTTTTGGGCACTTCTTTTTAGCAGAAGGTGATGTTTCAGTTACAGAACTTGTAACGTTCTCTGCGTAATCAGGGCTGTTTTTCTTTCTCCCTGGAAACGGGCTCGTGGATGTTGCTCTTACCTGAAAGGCCAGGGACACAGAACACTCCAGTGCCTCGGCAGGGCTATTTATATTCTGTGGTGAGGAGAACGACCCTTGTGCATTTTTCCAAAACAAAACACACATCTGTCATTTTTTTCCTTATTAGGCATTTAGCAAAATCTTCGGAATAGAGTTTATTGCAGGTTTATATAGTGTATTATATGAGAGTCTCATACAATCAAATTATATTGAGTCAATAAAAGCACAGAGAAAAAGTTGTTTCTCTAATCCTGTGGAGAAGCCTGTGCTGACTCTGTGCACACCCTTCCCACGTGTGCACAGATAAACGAACAATAACACATTGTGCGCTGGGCCTTGTTTCTCGTTTCATTTCTTATACTCATTACCCTGCAGGAAGCAGCAGGAGCGTTCTCTGCAAACGCGCTGCTCATTTGTGAACTTCAGGTTCTTCTTACAATTGTCACATAAGACCTGGTGAACCCAAGCTTTGAAGACAAATTCTCGGTTTTCCTCTTTAAAAAGTTTTGGTAACCATGGATTTTACTGATTGTATTCCAATAACACTATGACCATTTTGGAGAACACACTGGATAAAATACTAGGTTAGGACGAAATCCTTTTTTTTTCCCACATTGAAGACAGTTATGTTTAATTTTCAGAAAACCCTGGAGCTTTTCCCTCATCTTTTGTGATGGTTGTCAAATAATTAATAGTAAGCTAATTCAGCAGTACTTTGAAAATCACAGTGTTAGAAGGATCGAATGATTTTCACTTTAAATTGAACTTTTTTTTTTTTTTATTTCTGAGAGAGAGAGAGAGAGAGAGAGAGCAGGGTAGGGTCAGAAAGAGAGGGAGACACAGAATCTGAAACAGGCTCCAGGCTCTGAGCTGTCAGCTTAGAGCCTGATGCGGGGCTCGAACCCACAGACTGAGAGATCATGACCTGAGCTGAAATCGGACACTTAACCGACTGAGCCACCCAGGCGCCCCTAAATTGGACTTTTTTCCATCTCTGATTTGTTGAATTTGAGATTATCATTTACTTCTTAATGAGATTATGTGTATTTTCTATATGTGATCTACTTTTTTAAAGTTTATTTTGAGAGAGAGAGAGAAAGAGAGTGAGCATGTGTGCAAGTGGGGAAGGAGCGGAGTGCGAGGGAAAGAGAGGATCCCGGGCAGGCTCCGTGCTGTCAGCGCAGAGCCCGACATGGGGCTTGATCTCAGGAACCAGGAGATCATGACCTGAGCCGAGATTAAGAGTTGGACATTTAAGGGACTGAGCCACCCAGGGGTCCCCATGTGATTTGTGTTCTGAGAAGTTTGATAATTAGAGGATTCTGTAACAAATTTGTGTATCCTAGTTGAGTTCAAGTTGACAGTAGACTCCACAGTATTGTAGCTTATTGAGAACCTGGAGAAGGAGTCTCACGTCGTGACCCTCGCATAAAGAACATTGTGGGTCAGCATGCCATACGTTTTGTGACTCAAAAGGGCAGAGTGTTTCCTTCAGAAACCACAGACTGTCCAGGCTCAGCAGGCCTTTACCGGCCTGGCCTGGGCGTTACACCGCTGCTTCCTAGATGCTCTTTAAGGAGCGAGATGCCTTTACTGCTCACACACTCTCCTTTGCAGGGTTTGGCTAAGGACTTTGGAAAAGCAGATGGGTATTTTGAATCCTCTGTTTTGATCTGCAGCCTTTCTTTCGTTAGAAGATATGTACGACTTTGGAAACTGCTCAACTTCACTGTTACTAAAAGATTACTTCAGTCTTTAAACACGTAGGCAACTTAAAATTCTCCCAGAACTTAGATGACTGGCTACAAGCGTTAAGAGGAAATGTGTGGGAAGCGAGGACAAAAGAGAGAGCCCACAGTAAGTGCCTCAGTTCCTTTAAGAGTGCACCTGGCTCCTGGTGGCAGCAGAGTTGACAGTTAGGATTCCTGTCTTTGTGACCCTTCTTGGAAAGTCCCCGTTGTGACATAGTTTTACTCACTTCCAGGAATGGGTTCGAACACTGCTCCTGGATCTAGAGAAACTTTCCACCATCAGATTAATTAAAGGAGGCCTTTTCGTCATGATACACTCTTTGTTGAGTGTTGCCATGAACTCGTGTGGAAAGCTCTGATTGTCACATTACCTTCATTTCCCCAGAAAACTGCATTCCGGCAGCCCTCAGTACTGACCAAGATGGCGACAGGACAAAGTAGTGAATAAAATTCAGTGAAATCTAAAATACGTTACGGAGCTAGATTTAATCCTTTGTGGGGAGAGTGACGTGATGCTGATAGAAAGTACACTTTTGGAGCTCACAAAAAAAATGAAACCTTTTAATTAGGGAAGAGGAGCATTGAAAGGATGTGTAATTCAAGTTTATAAAAATGAACATTTCTGAGTCCCGAGCAGAGTGAGGGCGCTTCGAGGTCGTTGTGAGGACCGGACGGTTCTTTCACGCGCAAAGAAGCCAAAGTGAATTCCGCCTAGAAGGCGCGGGGGTGATCTGGGAATGGCAGACCCTCAGTGAGTGTGTCTTGAAGGGTTTGGTTCCTGGCTCTGCTGCTGTGAGAAGCACCCCTGGGTAGCCTTGTCTGGTCCGTGGGCCATCACGTGTCTGGGCCTGCATTTGGGCAAAACACCGAGGAGCCCCGCTTGTTCCTACCTTTTATTTGCATATTGCTTCTGCTAAAACTTACGTGGCTACCTCGGTTTTGACCATTTCTGGTCATTCTAAAGTCTGCTGTCACATCAGATCCGTGATCTCTTGAGCCTCCCCCAGTTCCCCCTGTAGAACTTTTTAATTGATAGTAAAGGCCCAACTTTCAGAGGAAGTCCTATGAAATCACAGATACTGGTGATCATTACAGATTTGTGATTTATTTATGCTCAACCGAATGGAAGAACCAGTTCCTAGAAGAGGCGCAGAACATGTATTCTTTGCAGCCTGAAAAATTGAGGAGAGAGTTTCCAGAATTCAGCAGTACCGTTAAGGAAAGGAAAGATAATTAAAGGACAAGACAGATTTAGTTCAGAAAAGTCCCCATCTGCCCTGCTTTCTCTGCTTCCTGCCCCCTCCGGGCCACCAGTCACTTGTGGGGGGGTCCATCTCATTGCCATCATTACTGAAGGAAGTCCCTGGTCTTGTAACTGTGGCGTGTGAGCTGAGAACATGCCGTGGGACCGGCTGGCGGCCCGTGGCGGTGCCCGGGTGGGTGAGGAGGGCCTGCCTCGGTCATGCAGTTGGTGGAGGGGTACACAGCCCTTCTCCGTTCTTCAGCAGGGCAGCCTCGGAAGAAGTGGTTTTGTGCGTCTACCCGTTGTGACGGGACCCGCGGTGGAGTAGCTGACAGAGGTCGCTGTGCGTGCGGGCTCAGCTGCGGCCCCCACGGGCATGGGCAGCTTGTGTTACTTCTGACTCTCAGAGGTCCCTTCCATGTGGAGCAGAAAGAGCACTCGTGGAGTGCGCTGTCCCGCCGTGCGTCCGGCCACGTCCACTCCAGGCCTGTGTCCCCAGGCCCGCGTCGCAGCCCCACACGGTCCTGGCCTCCGACACCAGTTCAGTGGGTGGGAGGGACTTTTGTCTCCACTTAGGACTTCAGCCTTGGCGGCAGCAAGAGGCAAAGCCTGATAGAGCAGACCGAGCAGTTGTGGGTCAGGGAGGGGAGAACAGGGGAAGCCCAGGTGTAGACGGGACGTGACAAGATGCGGTTTATGGGGTGGGTGGGCCAGGGGCTGCGAGGAAAGCAAGCTCATCTGGGGAAGTTCAGTCCCAGAGCCAAATCGTCGACGGGTGGATGCAGGAAGTGGGAATTCTGGGGGACTGGGGGGTCTGGGGGTGCTCTGTTCCAGACGAGCTCGTGGGATCGATAACCCTAAAAATCAGTCGAGTACCCAGGCGGTTCATTCATTCTTGCTTTGCTCAGTTGCTCCATCACTCTGGCAACCCGGAGGTCATTTTCAGTATTC